CTCTGATAACAAATAAGATTAGTTTAAAAGTAATGCTGAAGGGCTATTTGGATTTATTCTACAGATGTGGTACAGTTTAATCATTTGGAGGGCTCTGCTTTGCTGCTCTATACCTGAAACTGGGGCATCGCAGCGGAGGGTACATACAATCCAGGACTAAACATAGCTTTGAAACGTTCCTCCAGCCGTCCTGATAGAAGGACCAGGTGACAGAATGAAAATAAATCAGGACTAACACCAGCTTCTCTCTCATATTAAGGGGCATGATTTGCCTCACTTTCACCACAGTAGCAAAAACAGAATAATAAGGGCCCCACCAATGAAGAAATATTTACAATCAACTGTATATTACACTGGATGTAGCAATTGTTTATCAAGATAAAGACATATTACTTAGAGGTCATTTAAAGTACGTGGAAATGACAGCTGTATTAATTTTTTTTCTTTCGATTTGCACAAAAGCTGCTTATCCTTTTACAGTAAAAGCTTCTTGGAGCGCCTGATCATGAAATGGGTCAGCATCCAGCATAAGCTCTATCAGCTTACATGTTCTTTGCTTTGTATGGGAACTAAAACTCTTTTGCTGGAATAGTAAAAGGGATGCAGAAAAAGTTGCCAGACATTGATCCTCAAAGATAAGAATAGAATAGGACACTCAAGTAGAATGTACTTCCAACAAATTTTGTGAAAATAGATAAGAAATTGTAAATGCAAAATATGGCTAAATAGCACACCCTTAAAATAACCATGACGGACCCGAATGTATAAAAGCTAAAACAAGCCCTGGAGAAAGGAGAAGGAAGTTAGAAACAATAAACTTACCATGAGTCAGCCTTCTGAAAGTTATGAAATGGTTTATGATATATAAAAAAAATAAATCCTGTAACTTTCAGTCATAAAGATTAATTAAAAACAACTGAGTTTGCGGTTTTATTCAGTAGCCCAACAAAGCCTTGTTTTTGTTATGAAAACATGCAAATTGGAACAGACCAACGGGTCCACCCCTTTGGAATAGGGAGTGTTTGGCTTCTTTTTTTAGACTGCAATACCCCATACCCATTTAAGTGTCTGAAAGTTTGGTCGTTAAAGGAAATTGTCGGACTGGCTGAATAGACGAGGTCCTCCGCTCTCCTGTACATGGAGTGGGGTTGCGATGATAACAGGAAGGGATCAACTCAATTGCTGCAATGGAAGTTTTTGGAAGCGGGAATCTGAGTCCATCCCCTCTGTTTAAGGTTGGTTTTTCTTTCTTAACATACATGGCTTCCTTCACGCCACTCTCAAACCACCTATTTTCTTCATCCAAAATGTGAACATTCTGGTCCTTGAAAGAATGTCCTTTGTCCATAGGGTGTATGATTAATATTACAGTAATAAATGTTATGGTCAATCTAACAAGTCTAGAAACATTTTATTTTATTTTTTTACAGCACGAAGGCCGAAAATCTTCCCATAAATCCCTTTTAATGTAATTTACCTGATTCCTTGATATTTTGTCCATTTTATATTAAACAGCTCGCTTATTTTAGCACAAACTTGCCCCATCTGTGTAATAGATTTGTAGTGATAAGGTAATAAAAGCTGTCAGCGTTGCTACATCATCTGGAAGCGCGTTTTTCCTGTCTGTTACATAAGCTGCCGTTGTGACTGCGGCTACAAGAACTTAGAAGAAAGCTGGTTTAGATTTAAAAAGAATTCAAGGCTGGATATGTCGTTGCTTTGTCCGTTGATTTCATTCATAGTTAAAGACTTACTGCAAGTCATCTTAGTTGTCATGCCAGTTATTGCTAAGGATGTTTTTTTATTTATTTAATAAATGAGTCCAAGTGATTTTTGAAGCTAAGTAAGTTCAGATTGCCTAGATTTAGTCTGATGAGGAATAGGTTTACTCTTACATCATGTAGAGGTATATGGAAGGGAAAAGCATTTGATTAGAAATGAAACATGGACCATTTCTGTTGCTAACCATGTGTTTAAACCAGGTCAACGCTGGGAAGTCTAGAGGATTAGCGGTCATGTCTTATAATTTAATTTTATCAATTAACACATGAAATGGATCCAAAAAATATATCAAAACAAAGCTGTGAAACTTAAAACTAATAGAAAGACGACTAGCTTGTTCGTTATAAGCTAGCGCGGGTAGCTCGCAACGCTAGCGATAGCAATGGATGTCATCGAGCATTTTTTTACCACATTCGGACAAATTTGCTTCGTGTTTCCATCCGTTACAACCTAAATACGAAGGAAGGCAACATTAATAAAGGGATTTACCGTTCCAGGTCGTCCTCAGCGCGGATCATAGGCTCTGGCTCTACCGGCATATCGATATCAACAGCTGCCATCTTTTCTGGAAAATGCGAAGCAAGAGGACTGCAGCGATATGACGTCAGATCCGCTTTTGTTTTTCTTTATGGGTCAATGAAAATAGGCCAGTGGTTCAGATTGTTCTTATGTAACCGCCCGCTGTAGGTCGTTCGACTGAAAATCTAGGATTTGTTTTTCCTATATCAAAACGTAGTTTAATTAAATCGTATTTTATTCATCTTTCAGTAAAATGGCGGTAAAACAGCAGGGTTATTGAAACATTTTGCTTATTTTTTTGAAACAACGTTTTATTTTTTTTCTCCTTAAAAAACAAGTTGATTTCTTTCAAAAAGGTGTTTGTTTCAAGGAGTTTTTTTTTTATATATATATATATATATATATATATATATATATATATATATATAAAAAGTGGTTTTCTTTTAAAGAGCAGTTTTTCTTTTTAAAAACTGTTTGTTTTCTTTTCAAAAAGCAGTTTTCATAAAAAAATTTTTCTTTAAAAAAAAAAGAGAGCCATTTTAGTGTCAATTTATCCATTTATTTGGGGGATTCGTTCAAAGGCACATTGAGCCTTTATGAGTTTTCAGATAGAAATCTAAACTCTACCAATATTTTACACATTTCCTATTTCCAAACACTCTATAAATCCTCACATATTTTCCTCCATACCTAACATTGGGCATGACCTGCTTCTCCACATATGTTAAGGTAAATAATCTCTAACACATTGTAAACATTAATTGTCGCTTTGTAGATATAAGCCAATGAGTAACTATTTTTGTTCTCTTTTATATTTATAAAACAAAATCATCCTTTGTTTTTCATATTTTTCTCTACACAGGTAGTGTTATTATTGCAGTTTTTAAGGGAGCAAATCTACCCAGTCAGTCCATCTGGCTTTATTGTGAAATAAAACCTCCACATTAAATCATGGAATTTTCTTTCAATCTGACAAGTTAAAATGCCACCAGAGGGCGCTGTCGATCCAAGCAACCTTATTTTAAAGCGACCTTTTCTGTGCTATACTATTTTTAGAGAACTGAACTAATGTCAGGCATAACATTTGCACTTCATACATTTTTTGTGGTTTGTTATTCAATGTTTTTTAAACTTTAGTTAATTTAAACACAAGTAATTTCAGCTCTGTGTCCTAGATTTTACATGTCATTATAGAATGTAAAAAGATACTAATTATGTTCTGTCAATTTTAAATATTACGGATTTTGTCCTTATTGTTGGGACCATGTAATAAGTAAAAATAAATAAATAAAAATAAGAGAGAAAAAGTAACAAAAGTTAGAATTAAATAAAAGATTTGCTAATAAGGAAAGAGAAGTACAACCGTAAAAAAACAAGACATTTATAGGTTAATGTTGAATACATTAATATTCTTAAAATCACATGATTTACATTATTGCAGTAAATAAACAGGTACACTTCTTGATAATCTTAGCAGGTGACATAAAAAGAAAAACATATTGCTTAGTGAGTCTCAGCAGTCATGTGCTAGATTTAATCTACAATGAAGGTGTATTGATTTTTCCCATTTAACACAACATAAATAACTCTTAAAATGTAGAATTTAAATATCGCTGAACAGGAAATACAGAATCTCCTCATTCATATTGCACAAACAGTATTCAGCTTTTACCTTACAGGAAACTTCATATTTTAAATCCACCTGTTTGACTCACTGTAAACAGCAGAGAAATGTTTTCCTTAAATAATAAAAGTCAGCTGGCACAATAAAAAAGGACCATTGACATGTAAATGTGAATGACATGTGCTCTGGTTTTTCCCATTTTGTAGAGTGGCAAAGAGAAATGGGCCTCTGTGTATTGCTCATGAATGTGTGCAACATATTTCCAAACAATTTTAAATTGGCCCCCAAAATATTTTGGAGGATTCATCACACTCTCATTCATGATCTGATTTTATTTTTCTAAGTCAAACATCCCACTTTTGATCTTTTATTCCACTTAAAAAAAATGCTTCAAATGGGGTAATTCAAAATGTAAACTTTAATGATTATACCAAACTACATATAACTATAACTGTATTTCAAACCTTCTCCTTTTATACATCAGACGTATATCTCCATTCGACAGATGCTCATTTATTCAAGTAAGTACGGTGGTTGATTGTCACCCTTCTTTTTTTTCAAAACAAAGATTAAGAGACACCGACACAGACAGACCGAAAAAGACACTGTAGATCCATAATCTGTCACAAGAAAGTAAATTAACATCAAATGATGATATTGAAAAACATTTCAACTTTGTGAAAATACAAAATTCTCTTCAGTGCAAAACTGCAGATTTCTGCTGTCAGTTTTAGATGTTGAGGTTGTTTATATTCCTAACATATTTTACAAAATAATAACACTGCATGGAAACAAAGGTTTAGATTTTCTTATGAAAACTAAAGCTGATATTTTTCCCCCAGAGTACAATTAGAAATCTCTTAAATGAAAGCATGTCTTTAAGCATTTACACTGCTTTATGTATCGGTTTATTGTTTTCAGTAATGAGACTAAAGAGATGTACATAGTTATGGCTTGCAGATAGGTCCAGACCCAGGGAAACATGCACTCAAAAGTCAAGTAAAAGTTAATCTTTTCTCTTTTAAAGCAGACAAACTTCTCTTGCAGCTTCCTGTCCTCCATCAACTGGCCATCATGACGGCTGTGCTTCAGTGTCACCCTGAAAGAACTGTATTTTCCACAGTAGGCCACGATCATTTTTTCCACAAGTCTAGTTTTGGCAAAGATGTCAACTCCTCTCTAGCTTCCAGCAGCTTGTGGTAATTGCTAATAAGGAGAGAAGATTATAGGAGCATGTGTTGCCCTTAGAGGTCCTGGAGCAGGCCTGAATAGTGTTGGGTTTATAATGGGACCTGGGAGAATGGCTGTAGGACCGACAGGCAGTCGTAGCGCCAGGGGCCCGGACGTCATGCTGCACAGTGCAGCTGGATTGAAAGGGCCAGTCAGGAGCCCTGCCGGCAGGGCTTTGGACAGCTGCTTGTGCAGGGCCAGTTTAGTCTGAAAGCAAAAACAGGGAAAAAAACTCAATCTAAGCACTAAGGGCACAGGGAAGGTAGCACGTACCATATGTAATGCACCATTTAGGTTAGGAATTTTGACCAAGCGGTTACAGAAAACAGTAAATCTTCACCAATCCCCAATAAACTGCAAGTGTGTTAGCACTGTAGCACAGCTAGGTGTAAAAGGAAATTAATAAAGTAGCTAATAACCATGGCTTCAAAAGTAATATAATTAAACACATATAATCAGTGTGTTTGTGTGTGGTGGTGGGGGGGATGTTTGAGTGAAATTCTCACCGCTAAGACGGCATTGGGGTGGAGTTTATTATAAGGGGTGAACTTGGCTTTGACAGGCCTTCCCGCCAAACGCTCTTTGTGTCTCCTGCTATTTGTGTGCTAAAAGAAAAAAGACAAAGAAAGCATCAACCAGGTAAACAGTGAACAAGTACAAAAATACTATTATAACAAACTGGCTTTTCATTCCAAAGTTTTCATAGTTGTGAGTTTTTCATGCAGCTGTAAATATTTGCCATGTCAATCCATGACCTGAATCCATTTACCTGCTTTAGTTGTGTCTCTGAGTTAACTGACACTTGGCACAGTTCACAATGAAATACTTGATTGGTGACACCCACAACCGTTCTGCTTTTGCTCCCCATGCGTTGTTTCATTCGACCCTTTGGTCTCGGAGTTGAGGCCAACTTGACTCTGCGATGCGACTGGCTGTTGTTCTGGCCATCCAGCATCTGTTTGTGCCTAGACCCTGATTCAACCAATTAGAGGGGACTGTGTAATGTCAGAATGGCAGGGCAGTGCAAGTAAGAATTGTTTTAACAGTCAACAGACATTACAATCTAAAGCAGTAAAAATGAAAAAAGAAATACCGCTACAGTGAGACTCTAGCTGGGAGCTGGAGTTGACCGTCACTTTGCATGTGGAACAGTGAAGATGCTTTTTGATGTTTTTGACCTCTTCCACCTCTTTCACCTTTATGGCCTCCTCCTCTCCTGCTGTGAAGCTTCCCTGAAGATCAGAGTCTGATGGTGAACCAGTGGCATTGCTGCTCCCATCTGCATGGGGTTCATCTGAAGGTAGATCAGAAAGCTGGGAGCCGTCTGAAGCTTCAGGAGTCTGGTGAGCAGAGGGGGGTGAGGAGGAGTCTGAGCATGAAGGCATGGGAGATGGGGTGGCTGTTTGCAAGTTTCCCTGGCTTTTTTCAGGATGCTGCTCGGATGAGGTGTTTGGGTCTGTGGACAGATTTGTAAACACGACAGTTTACTTCCAGACATTGCTTGTTTTTCCACAACACTACCTTTAGATATCTACAGAAGCAGAGAACATAAAGATCAGCAGCTGATGTTTCTGAGATATTAAGATGAAGAGAAAGTTGGATTTTATTTTTTAAATGTAAAAGTGATCATTTCCATCCAGAAAAACTTGTTTTTCATAAGGCGACTAGTTAATTATGGTGTAAAACATTTGAGGTACTTGTTTCCATATACTTTAGTTGTCATTTTTTTATTTATACGCTAATAACTAACTCTGATTCCATACAATGTTTTTTATGAAAAATTACAGCATCCAGCTGGTGTAGTATTTGTTTTTTTTTTGTCTTTTAAGCGTTATGTTTGTTCAATTTGTTAGTAAAAATTGCCTTTCTGTGTATATTTACATAAGAAAATCATATGATCAGGTTGATGTCACTGCACATGCGTACAATTTGTCAACAAGAAGAAGAAAGGGAGGAGAGTGAGTTTGAAACTCCCAGTGTATTTGAAAAAGGAAAAGTACAAGATCAAGTGTAAAAATGCACAAAAACATATTAAATATCAAAAGGGATAAAACCTGAGTCGTGTGGGAAAAGATTCGAACCATTGTAGTACTGTAGAGCTGGAGCTAAAGCTCGGGAAGCAGTCTGATGTTGCTGCAAATTTGACATACAACTGAGTACATGTCCTTGCTAATAGTGCTACTGGTGTTAGCATTGTTTTTAAGCCCTATATTCCAAGTCGGTCATTTTTCACAAGGCATTATAGGACGGAAAGGACTTTTTTTTTTTTATTAGATGCCTCAATTACTTTTTGGTAGTTCAGTTGTACTGCCACCAGATGGCGCCACACCTTTTCATGACACTCGTCACATCTGGTGCTGCAGTTCTATTTAGGCTAAAAACTATGAATGAAACACTACCAGGACGGACACTTGAAGTATATAACCTTATTTTATCATGATCACCTGGATTTTTGTCTTTTTGGTGTAAGCAAGTAACGTGACTATGTACCTTTCGTAATTAGTAAAATTAGTAACGTTTAAGCTTTAACTGGATTAAAAAGATTTATTAATAAGCTTATTTTGAAACCCAACCCCAATATTAATTTATGAATCCTTAAAGTAGAAAACAGATCAAACAATAAGTATAATGATTACTTAAATATAAACATTATAAATTAAAATGGAATGTTTCATGAACTAAATTGAGGTGTTTTTTTTTTTGTTTGTTTTTTTTTACATTTGTTACAATTCAGTTAAAGTATGCAATCAATGTTTTTATAAGTTCAAAACATTATTGGGGTGTGTTAAAAAAAAAATCGTTATCCAGGAAATAATTCATAGCTGCACCCTTGATTGAGTGTAACTGAAAGCATGGGTCATTAACATATCTTGGAAATAAATAATGTTTTTTTCTTTTAGAGGCACTTCAATTCCTAGTTTTTGATGTAATGTCTGTGATTGTTAGCAACACCCCCAGTGAGCCTTGTTATTGTATTCTATGTATAGCCAGTTAAAGACAGCTATTTCTGTTTGCAAGGTTTTAAACATTGTATTGCAGGTCCTTCAAATTATTACCTGGATCTAATAAATCTGCAGCGTTCAACAATCAGTGTTTTTTTCCTCCTTTATATTGAGGATACTGAAGGAGATATTGCACAGGCTTCTACAGCTGCCTGTGCCGGTTGACCCGCTCAACACATGCTAGAGAGCACACGAAAAATTATTAATTTAATCTTAGATGTTCCTTCTTTGTGGATGACATCAACTTGCTATTTTAACTCAAGGTTTTTTAGATATTTAAAGTTGGCTAAAACAGATATTCAGGAGAATCCAGAATAGAGATGATGTCTGAATGTTCTCCACCTGCTTTGTTCTGTATTCTATCCTTATGGAAATGTTCGATTGGGCACTATTCCCTATCATCTCCTAAATTTTCCCACCCTTTCGTCTTTTTCATTCTATCATAATCACTCTCCTTTTGTCAATGTGCCTCTCTGTCATTTGTTGCCTTTCTGCAGAGGCCCCATCCGTCACCATCAATCAACAACCATGGCAACCACTGAGTATAACAAGCTTATTATTATGTGCTTCGAGGGAAATTGATAGGTGCTGCAAAGAAAATGGGAGAGAGGGGATCAATAATGGAAAAGGAATAGCAGACAGGGAACAGAGAGGAGGATGGTGATATTTTGTTGTCAGGTTGAATGAAAGGCTGAGTGACTGATGGCTAAAAGTAGTGAAATAGTAAATTGCTAAGTTATTACTGGAAAGGCAGTCCAGTGTAGCCGCTTAAAGTGTAAGAAACCATAAATTAATTTACATTTTTCATTTCATATCGTATTAGAAGCAATATGAGTATAACAAAAATAAAAATCTTATCATTTAAAACCTGATTTCCTGAGATGCTGAAGCTACAAAGCACTTTTAAACCTTGATTCTTATTGCATGGATTTAAGATAGAGAAATTATTTAAATTTAGGTCAAGTTTATTTACCAAGAAAAAATTATTTAAAATCTTATTTATTAAACAACAGCAGCTCAAGACAGCAATCAAACATAAAAACATATTGTTTGTCAACAGGGTTGACAGAAGTTGGTAAAGACATCATTGTTGGAGTCTGCATTTTTTTTTTAATTTGATTTATTTTCTTATTTTTTCCTACTTTCTTTGATTCTGTTTTATTTTCCTACATTTTAATCATGTAAAGCACTTTGCACTGTCTTTGTACTGAATTGTGCTATACAAATAAATTTGGCTTGCCTTGCCTTGCCTTTCACATAGCATATCAAGGGTCACTTTATTGAAAGCAAATGTAAATGCATTTTGCGACATGTTCCACATTGTAATCAGATTCTGATTCTATTCAAGCAGGGCAGAATAACTGAATGCTTTTTTTTAATTTTAATACTTCGGAACAGTGAACAGGAACAGGTTTTTAGAGCAAGCACATAAAAAAAATGTTAGAAAGGAAAGAAGTGGGCCAACAATGCCAACTACTGAACTCACATTTACATTATTGATTGCATCTACATAACTAATAATTCTTACTGTAAAAAAAAAAGTATTAACAAAGGTAATACTACATTTTTTTTCAATTATAATATGTTTTTTCAGATTTTTACTTCTTGATTACCTGAAATAATGATGCCATTAGGCAGTTTTCCAACTAAAAGGCCATTAGTATCTTGTGGGAGTATATTGCCCTTTAAAATACCTGCACAGCTGAATTAAAACTCTGTAAGAGTTTGCTGATATGGCTACATAAACAAAGACATGGTTAACCAGATACAAAACTAGCTCTTTTATAGATTCATCTTAGAATCCGGACATAATTTCCACAGAAAACCTGGGGGATGAGCTTAAAAAAGGAGATGAAGAATAACTAAAGACTAAACTAAACCAGTGATCCCTGAAATTTTTGTAATTTGGCTTAAATCCTCAGTTACAGTCCAAAACCGTGGGTAGAACAGTCTTGCATTGGGCGCCATGTTAATTGCAACCAAAGGGCTACAGAAAATAGGCCTAGGGGCTGCAAGTCCCCCCCACACACACACATTTTAGAAAACCCTGATCTAAATAGATTGTTCAAGATAAAGTTGAAAATGAGGCAATAATTTTGCCATTGCTCAAAAGGTTTTTTAAAAGTCCTAATGTGGAATTCAAACCTGGAGGGACTCACATGGAGACAAGGAGGCAACAAGAGAATTGATTGGATTGATGGATATACGCAGACCACAGCTACGACATAGAGCTGAACATTTCTGATAATGATAGTATATGATGATAGGAGGGTGACTAATGCCACAATACAATAAACTAATAATCATGAAATAATGACCTAAATGTGTGAGTAATTATTTAAAATGGGAAATAAATGCAGAGTTTATTTAATGATATGGGCTTAAACCAAATATAGTGATTTTGTTTTATGAATATGATAATTCTATGATTTAATGCATTATATCGTATTACTGACATGAAGCACATAATTAATTAATTTATGTCATGGAGTCATGGAGCGGGAACTAGAGCCACTTTCACAGAAAACCTGATGTCTCATTGGCTGCTTCTCACCAAATAAGATTAGACAACTGACTGGTATATTTTACTTTAAAGTTAATAATTGTACAGACACATGCAGAAATAACTCCCGAAAAGCCTTGCAATTTATTTACAACACATTAGGTGAGCAACTCCAGCCTTTATATCCCTAGTTTGGTCTGAAATATATCTAACGAGTTTACGAAAGAGCTGGCTGTGGTCTAGCATGGTGGGAGCTGCCAGAGACTTCAGTAGAATCAAAGTTTCAACCCTTTTTATTTACATCTTTTCTATTGAACATACTGAAGTTAGAATAAAAGAAAACAAGGAAGAAGTTGTCTTATCTGGCTCAGTGAGAAGCAACCAATCAGATGTCAGGGTTTCTATGGAGACGGCCCTAGTCCCGCCTCATTGACATTGATGGATGTGTGGCAGTTTAAATTAATTCAAGGTGTGCTTCAGCACAGTAACATTAAATAATTGATTAAATAATCAAATAATTGTATTCACTTCTTAAAATAAAACCAATGTATAACTGGGGCTTATTTAATGAATTATATGTTTATTAAATATATTCTATATTTTTTCCAACTATAACAAAGGAATTACACATTTAAACAATTATTTCATAGGTTACTTATTTATAGTCTTGTGGCACTCATCGTCCTCCTGCTCATATGCATGATGATGAAAATGGCAGGGGCCTGGGCACTGGTGGTAGACTGAAAGATGAAGGAAGAGGGGAGCTGGAACGAGTAGGAGGTACACCAGGTTGAAGAAGGGGGTGAAGGTGGGTTGCAGCTGGTTGGATGCAGGAACTTGACCCTCATGAAGCAGCCTTGGATTCTATTGAGGAGGCTTGGAAGGCAGGAGAAGACTGGAAAAGTGGCTTCGGATGACGTGGCATTCTGGATTTGCAGGTAACACTCTGCAACATCTTCCAGATCTAAAGCACCTCTAGGCTTTGCTTGTCCCTCATTAATAAATACACTCATGTATATTGTATAGTTGGGTCAGTAGTCATCTCCAATCAAATGACAGACAATCTTTGTGACAACTGAAGATTTATTCAGCCAGTGGCTGTATTTTTTAGGTTTTTAATGTGAAGTTCTTCAAAACAAAGGCATAAAGGATTAATGTAAATAAAGTTTTTTTTTTAACACATCTATATCAGGGGGGATCATAGACGCACCTGACACTGTTTGTCAGGTTTCCTTGATGGTAACATTAAACTACATTTTGTGATTTCTTTTGAGAAAGTGATGACTTTCAACTCCAGTCACAACCAAAGAGTGCAACACATCATCCTTCCTAAGATTGCATCTCTTCTTAACGCCTCTGGTTCTGCAGAATGTCTTCGCTTGATGGCTGTAATTATCTATCTGACAGAACCAGAGATAGCAGGACAGGTAATGGCTTGTAATTAACCAGCTGAGTGGCAGCTTCCAAAGCCGCACTGCTCATTCTCTTCAATTACAGCTAATTACCCAGAGGGTGGTGAAGGGGGATGCTTTTTAAAATAAGCGAAAAACTTATACCTGTTTTTTCTTTCAGCTGAGCATCAATCGGCACAGTTTCTTCCTCCTTCTGCCCGTTCTCTGTGTTTCTGTCTTTTTCTGCAGACAGCTGGCTGTGTCCGTTCTTCTGTCGATTCTTCTGGGTCTCTATTGCCTTAAGCTTTCTAGCATGCTTGTGACCTTTGTAGTGGGCCTCTGCCTGGGTCTAGCCATCGCAAAACCCCACACACATGCACACAAGGTGTGAACAAAAGGGCAGAAGAAGAAATCAGGATTAATCATGGAAAAACATATTCAAAAGGAAGCTGGTAAGTTAGCTTATTACATCAATACATTAGTGGAGAAAATATGCATTTGAAGTCACACCATCAGTTGGACAAAAATCATTCATGTTGCAGAAATGAACTTTAAAAACAACTGTTGCACTCCCCTCTGAGCATATATGCTCAGGTTTCCTCTGATTTATACTGACAGAAAGGGGCCTGTCTTGTTTGATGTAGCATAACATGACCTTAACATTATCCTCTTATACAATTATTACATTTCAGGCATATCCTGAATCCTAAAAATGGTGACATGTCACTGCAAAAACATTTTTTAAGACACCAGAACAGATTTCTGGGGAAGTTTAAAAACATATTTATTCTTGTTCTCGTTGTTTCAGCAAACAGGGCTAAATAAGAGCAGTACCTTATCCAAGAAAACCCATTGGTAAAGAGATGGATCCTTCTGGATTAATCCTGATTTAGTTTTATACAAGTGTGCAAGATATTTCCAACTGGCTAAATAGTATTACCATCTTGGTAACTGATATTACTGTTTTTAAACATTTATAACCCAGCCTCTCTGATTTTTAATTCAAAAATATCAACAAATTTAGCTAAATTTGTGGAAATTTGATTTTAATGAATAAAGGATACTTGGACTTAAAAAGTAATGCTCCTTTCAGGGGATTTTGAAAAAAAAAAAAAGTTCTAGCCGATCTTAAAGCATTTGTTTCATGACGTAAATCAACCTTTTCTTGCTCAAAACAAGAGAAACACGGAAGTTTGCATTGTTGAAATGAATTCAATCTATAACAGCTATCCTTTACCATGGAAATTTAATCTTCTTGCAAAAAAAAAATGGTTATCATTTTTGCAACTTAATTGTCAAGACACAAGACAGAGGACCCAGAATTCAGGATGACAGACAGTGGGATAATTCAAAGTGCTTATTTAAACAAGACAGAAGCGGGCTGTGGATCTGCAGCGGCTGCGGCAGAGGTGGGGCACCGCCTATCACTGGAACCTCTGGTTTGACAGTTCAGTCCACCTCCATAGAACGTGGTAGGATCCAGCCCGAGTGTCACCAATGCTGCAGTCCCGAAGGGCAAGCATGAGTCGGAGCGAGGTCAGGCAAACAGATCACAACAGGAAGACTCAGAGGTCCAGAAGTCCGAAGCCCAGTCAGGGATACCGATCAGAACAGGAACATGCTGGTTCAGGGGTCCAGAAGTCCACAAAGAGTTCAGGCAGAACGTTCAGATGGAAACAGGCAAGCGCAGTGGTAGAGAGGCAGAACAGGGCAGGATATCAGGAACACTACGAAAAGCAAAAACTGCTCTCTCCACTGAGCCAAGATAGGAACAGGGCACGCTCAGTGGATAAGAAGCAGAACACGATCAGGAAATAAGGAACACTACGACACACTAAAAAATCTCACTCACCACCGGTCTCCAAGAAAGATCGTTGGTACAAATTAAAAGCTATGGTGGCACAGTTAAAACAAACAAAGTCAGAATGGACAATACTTATCTTTAAAAGAATAACCCATTTAGGTTGTATTTCCCTGTTTCTAACTCAGTTCTTCTACTATGCCACAATGTGTATCCCCATATAGCGACTGTTAAGCTTAAATTGTTTGAGAAAAATCTTTTTGCACATTTTAATTTACATGCAAAGAAGACACCTCTAAACACTCAGCCGTTGATGCTGCTGTTTTCGTTTTAGAGAGAAACTCATAAACCTTTAGAATTTTTTTTGTAATTTTTTTTTCTTTAGTTTACTGAATTATTAGAGATAAAGAAAATATATAGCAACTTGATTACCTTTGGATATACAGGCCTTTCTACAGACCTTACAAACATAAAAAATAATGATAAAAACATTTCCATCAATATTCAGGATCAAACTGAAAAACTACTTTCATTTCTCAGATAAAGACCCAAACCCACGTCCTAAATAAACAGATTGACCATGCATTAAGTTTTTGCTCTGGGCAGTGTTGCAACGTAATTATTCTTGCACAAATTATCCACAAAGGCCAGGAATGCACTGTTCAACCACCAACTGCACATTCAGAACCAGACGTGTTCAGAGCTGATGTTTTTTGTTTTTTTTTTGAGTGTGAGCTTAGAGCAGTTGAACAGATGTTTCCAGCTTATCACTTTCATGATACTTGGATGGCTGCAGAAGCATGAAGGGCATCGTCGAGGGTCAAAGAAAGATGTTGGAGAACTGAAGCAGAGAAAATTATACACAAGACCTCTGGCAATGATGAATGTCAGTGCACATTAAACATTTTTGAGTCAGAAATATCGCTTTCTCTGTCTCTGTCTCCATCTCCATACGATCATATGATCTGACATGCTAATGTACTACAGTAGGAATGAGATGTCTCAAACTGAGCTTACGTTCATTTGAATTCGGAAAAGCAATACATACCCAGCCATCACAGTGTCTCAAGACAAGATGTCTGAATAAGAAGAATGAAGACATCTAAAGACTTTTATGCACATTAAGATGTCTTAGGACATTTTAAGAGAAAAATCCTGAAGGCATGCACCCATGTTTTAAGGTATACAAGACTATGAGTGCTTTTTTTTTATCTTAAGAGATTTGAATCTTAAAATAGCTTAAGACAGTTTTTGTAGCAAGCTGTCTTGTTTTATGATCAAAATAATGTTCCAAGTAAGATTTTTTTCATCAACTGCAACCCCTAAGAACTTAATTTCTACGTAGCTCTGAGGTATAACACCAGTTTACTTTAAAACCTCTTTGTTCTAACTGTGTCCTTGTGTATATCAGGTCACACAAACACAAAAGTGGTGTTTCAGGTTCAGCTGGAAAGAGTCTTATTAGAAGAAATAAAGAACCCTCTTTGCATCTACTCTGTTGTTTCTAATACAAATGGCTGCAGGCTGTGGTGTGATCTTTCTAGTCAAAAATAATTTGAGAGAACAAATGTTAATTAATTTCAGGAGTGTCCAACTTAATTACAAATTAGGCTGACAATCTAAAAGATGATTTCAGGAAAAAGTGAGATTTAGACAGAAGCCACTTATTAGGTTTATTAAATTGTCCTATTAGTTTATTCAAAAAATCAGAAAATGCATTCAAAATTTAAGGTTTCTTTCGTTAAGCACATTTAAAAAGTGTAATCTGTTTTTTCCTGGCTGTAGAAAAAGGGCCTTCCTCTCCTAGTGGTCTGTTACACAGGGGATAGTGACACTCCCTTGCCAACTTAAGCCAGCATATTTTACTTTAGTTCTGCATTAGATATGTATATCCTAAACAAAATTACAATTTAAAGAGACAGACAATACAAATGGCAATAAAACAGCCTAGAAAATGTCTAAGGAGATTAAATGTGAGCTTAAACTCAAGTAACATCAGTGGCATCATCTGTTGTTTGAGCAGGTGTGGATTTAATGGGAAATTACCGAGGATGGACACCGTTTTGTCAGCTCTATGTTCACAGATGGAAAAATTGAGCATATCAAGAAAAGAACACTGTTACAGTGAAACATGGAGGAGGCTGCTTTGCTTCAAGGGATGCTATCAACGGATTCTAGAGAGAAGTGTGCCGCCCAGGGTCAAAAAGTTCTGTCTCAGTCATGGGTCTTCAAGAGGATAATGACCCAAAACACACAGCTAGAAGATCCAAGATTAAGAGGAAAAAATTTGACTACTCTAAAGTGGCCCTGGCCTAAATCCTATAGAGTGTCTTTGGAAGGAGCTGAAGCGCATTCCTGTCTGAGAACATTATAATGCCTTCACCAATCAGTTGAACACATGTGTTCACCCTTACTGTTGAACACATGAGGAAGAGACAGGCTGTACCGAACAGAAAACTGTCAAAATCTGTGCCCGTCCACAATAGTAGGAGGTATCAGAAGAAAACAGGTAGTCTACTTTGCAGTGCATGAGGTTGATAATAAGATAAGAATTAGTAGTAAGTTAAAAAAAAAATCATATCATTAGCCATACCATTACTTGGATTATTGTGCACATGACCTGTAAGAGTAAAGATTAATCAAAACTGAGTCTTAAAAGATTGTTGAATCTGAATAAAAAAAAAAAAATTAGAGCTAATAAGATGGCAAAATTAAGTCATTAAGTCATTTAATTGAAGTCATTAAATCATTTAAACCATCAATTTTAACAAAATGCACAACACAAGGGTTAATGATTACCCTAAAAAAAAACAAAAAAAACTTTATGGTCTATTTTGACTCACAGTTGAGTTGAAGCGCAGGTGGCAGATATTGCATGAAATGATGGGCTTCCTCTTGGTCTGAGACATCCCAAAAGTGTGGTTGATCACCGCTTTCTGCACTGGATCCATCTACAAAAAATAAAATAAATAAAAATAAAGCATAAAAGGTCATGCAACTACAGGTGCTTGGTTCCAGGTATTTAAAGATTCACTTCCATCCAGAAAGCCCACATTCTTATCTTAAGGTAATACATGTCAGATTAAATAATACTACTTATACTTCAGCGATAGTATCTAGGTGTTACTCTATTGTATGTCTCGCACCATGTCCGTTGGTTGTGCTGTTCTTTTTACATCTCTTTGCAGGTGATGAAGCAGACTGAGAAGGTTTTATCATTATCTCCCTTTTATCTCCTCTTTTCTCCTTTTTTTTTTTGTTTTTCTTCTTTCCTGTTCTACTTACATTGCAGTAACAATATAATCTGTAAAACCCCCGTGCATAATGATAATAAAGCAATTTATGTGCATAAAACAAGTGGAACAACATGGCAATAGCCCTACTGCTCCATTTGTGAAAGTAAAATCTGCTGGGCTCTTTTTGGCATCAAGAAAAATATTCTTATGGCCACATTGCCAGACAGGACACTGTTAAAAAAAGAAAAATAAAGAATAAATAATAAAGGGTCATGGGTATTTTATATTGACATGCACACAAAATAATTGTCTAAAAAACAACAAAATGCTGTGTATTGCTAAAGATGTTCTAAAGAAACAAATACGATTCTCTTCAGATGGTTCAGCACATCTGTTAAAATAATAATAATGAATACTATAAGAAGTAGTATAGAAAATATTACACTTCAAACTTTTAAAGTCAGTCTTTGTATAAATTAATTATGATCTCTTTTCTCCAGAGGTTTTTTAGATTTTGGTATTTGGACTAAGATAGTCATGGAAATCAGACCATATGTTTTCAATCACTATTTCAATAATCACAAAAATGAACACGTGTTCAGATATTTATTTAAAACATTTCAAAGAATTCATAATGCCATACTCTCAAGGAAGGTTAAAAGGAACAATTAAAAAATATACAGCCCCATATATCCATCTACCAGTTTTGTGATAAAGGTTATTTTTTTGGAAATTATTCTAATTATTATTCTAATATCATAATTTTAATCCCATGAGTTCACATTTTTCCCTTTAACTTTATTTAAGATTTTTTTTTACACATCTATTACAGGCACCAGGAGCCAGTTTAAACTGTTGAGGTTTCTTAAAATAGCATGAAAAAGCCAATGCTATGCTAGTATTACTTAGAAAAACAAAACATGCAACCAACCAAGAAGTCTAGGTCAGAATCTAAAATATTAAACCTCCTTTTTTGCATTTCACCTAACAAGTCAGGTTAATTGGTACAATGGAACCCCCATTTTCCCCTCTCTTCCTCATATCTGTCATAAGAAGGGGAGTAATAGAAATGTAATATCTGCCCTGCTCCTATTATTTTCCAGACCAACACTAATTTCTAGATTTTTGATTCTTTATACATTGATGAAGCATGGAAATTAAGTTGCATTGTTTTTGACTGAATCCACAGGCCTCCCAAAGAGGTATAAAGTATTTGGTTTCAACATGTCTTAGTACTAAATTGATATTTATGAAATACATATGAAAACTAAGCATGTGTGTTTAGTTAAAAATCTTGAAACCTAAATTCACTCTATTTAAATTGCCTGTTTGGATCAAATCCGTCTTTATCTTTTAAATTCTTCTAAACCAGCTGTTCCATTCAAATGTATATTTTTAGCTTTAGCTTTCACACAGCGATAATCTCCCTTCCTCCCACAAGCTTGATACCTTCAACAGGACATTCTCCGCTTTTTCTCCTTAAGTGATGACTCAGACAGAAGCCATTCCATTTATTTAGTATAAATAAACAGACATGCTTAAGTGATTGCTTGAATTAATATACAGAAACTTTTTTTTACATTATGTAGACACAATATTAAAGAACTGTTCAGTTACGTAAAATGACACAAAACAATTTAACAATTGGGATGAGATTACATTAAACTATTGCTCAGGCTACTGTGATATTTCTGCCTGCTTGGAGTGGTGGGAAATACGTTTAAATACCGTAGCAATAGCTGCAGACTATATTGTATCTAAATTATTAACCCAGTATAAATGCATATGATAAAAACACAAGAGACTGTGGACTTGTATGGAGCCCCAAAGGGAGTGTGAAGGAAAAAAGCAAATTTTCAGGTGCTCACTTCACACTTAAATAAACCTCAAGAGGAAATAGACCTCAGGACCTCATACTTGTTTTATACGACTTTCTAAAATATAATGTTCATGTCAGGCAAGCAAACTGATGCGCAGAAAATGTGTTTTTTGGTTTTCATTTTTTCTCTTCAATTGCCGTTTAAGGGCTCTGTAACTTGACCAGTAGAATGCAAAGAATTTTATCCTATAAACATATATGAAAAATCTGAACAATATTAGTTAAAAAAACAAATGTTAAAAGATATCAGCCTGTTTCTAAAATCATAGGCATGCTAATAGAAACCCTCCACCTCTGTCAGCTTCTGTGTAAAGTTCTGTATCCCGTTGGTTAATAATAAATGTTTGAGTTGTTCTCATACTTAATGTTGTTGTTCTCTGTTTGAGTAACAACACTTGATTAAACCTCTTCTAACATTTCACAATATAAAATAGGTGAGAAAGGTATGTATGAATTGTGCTGATATTGTATCGGTCAATTCTCAACCCTGCAACATCGCCATCGTATAGTAAATGAAAAAGTTGCGTCTGAAAACCCCTAATTTAATAATTTTTATGTGGTTAATGCTAATTTTTGCATGTAATTAAATAATGCAATAATTCAACATTTAAAATTGTGAAATAACTATCATGTTTTTAACAATTTCAGAATTTTCCTTACAATTATTAACATTATTATTTTCTTTGTTATGCTTAAATACTATTTTTAAATAACCTTCATCAAAGTGTTACATCATAAAATTCTAATGATCAGCTAACAGTTTCAAAAACCTGAAAGATCATCCAAATAGATCAATAATGCCAAAGAGAATTTTTCCCTAAACTTAAAATCACAATAAAATGGAAAGAACAAATCCTTTCGAAAATACAGTTATTGGCTTTATAACAACATAAGAGGTCTGAAGACATGACCAACCACATTTAAAACACATTTGTAAACACGTGATTGTATTAGTATTCAACCATTGAATTTAAAATAAAAAAAAAACCAATCTTTAAATAATGTGTACTGTGTGAATGTTGTAGTCATGGCATCTTACAGTGTTGAAGTTTGGGAAGAGGCTGAGAGGTGAGGAGCTGCTGACCCTGAGTGGTAGGAAGTGTTCCAGTTGGGCATGGGTCTGACGCTGAACGGGTCGACCTGGGAGGGGCAGGGAACTGAGGAGTGGGTGGATCTGGTTCTGGGACAGTGCACCTGTAAGCAGACACACACATTTTGGTCTTTTACACAAAAACTGTACATGTACTTTTGATTGCACACACTGTGCCGAGGCCTGATTTTAGCAGCCGAATGAGAACAGGACCCTGGGAGTGGATGATTCACTAAGTAAAGCCTTAATGACTTCACTAATAGCAGGGGATAAATTAGAGGCTTTGTGTGGCCTTTTCCTGCTGCACAAGTCCATTGTTTATCTTGAAAAATGCCTCTGGCCTTTAAGCTGCAACCAGAGTATTTATAATTGCATTTTTCTTTCTTCTGATTCTGGAACAGGATGAGAAAAGATCCATATGTTCTATTTTCAGGTTATTTTCATCCACTTCTGGTGTCTCCATATTTTCAGTGAGTCAGACATATTTCATTTTTTGAACTGGTGTAAATCTGTAGTTCTTTCTCTGTTTTGAAGTGGGAAAGTGCAGCCCATCTGGAGAACCTCCACATTAACTTATGGAACCATTAATTGAAATAATAAAAAATGATAATAAAAAAACAAAGGAAGCCCTATCCTACGGAAGAGGATTAGGGCCACTGAAAAGAAAAAAAAAGTTAACTGATTTTT